CGTTCTCTGGCCCTGAGCCAGCGGAACGTCGGCCCGAGCTCCTCCACTTCCCCGCCTACCGTCCTGCGCGCCCAGGAACGGCTAACGCCAGGGAAGGGTCCTCCCTCCCGTGCAGCCGGTCACCTGCCGCAGCGCCCGCGCGTCCTTCCGGGGCTCGCTGTCCAGGAGCCCTCCAGGCTGCAGCGTCACACGCTTACTGCGTGGCCTGAATTCTCAGATGGAAAGTACCAAGTGATTCCTGCCCTGTCGGGCCAGTGGGTTGTTTCTGAAGGCTTATCGCTGCTGATAACTGTCCCGTTTTAAAATCTTGGTGTGCGCGTGCCCAGTTTACTCCCGGGTATTTCCGTAGCTGGCGGCTGTTTGTGAGTAGCTGCCCGTGTGTGCTCTGTGTTGCAGAGGAGCTGTATGTCTCTGAGCGAGAGGGCAACGACTCCACGGGGGATGGGACGCAGAAGAAGCCCTTCAAGACTGTTCTGAAGGTAGCTGGCAGGCGCCAGGCTGCTCTGCAGAGCCTGAGCTGCACCTTGCCTTGAGATGGGCCTGGAGTTACGTGTGGCTCTGGGGAGGGGGGCAGCAGCGGGGTGTCTGCTCAGGCTCTCTAACGGTGACTTCACTTGCACTGCAGTTGACTGTTATTTTCTGCCCCTTTTTAGGCTTTGATGACAGCAGGAAAGGAACCATTTCCTACTATATATGTGGACTCACAAAAAGAAAATGAGGTGCTGTAACATTAGAGCTTTCTAGCAGAAATTATTTTAATACTTCTTTGTGTGAAGGAACACAAATATGATCTTTTACCTTCTGCTTTCTCCTTGGGTTCATGCAGAGATGGGCCATTATTTCAAAGTCACAGATGAAAAATGTCAAAAAGCTGTGGCACAGGGAGCAGATGAAGAATGACGCGAAGGAGAAGAAGGAGGTGGGTGCTGATGATGCCGGCTTGGGGGAGACTTGCCACCTTTATTTTCCAAAAACTTTAAGCAACGTTGTCATTCCCACCCCTCCAAAAAGTTTGTTTGTTCATTGTCTGTGTTGTTTTACACAGATGTTGTTTAGAGCTCACCTTTGTTTAGATTCGGGCAAGCAAACAGCTGAAACTGGGGGGGTTTGGAGTGATTGCAGTCTGCTACCCTTAGGCTTTCTGGAGAAAAAGAAAAATTTGTCTGTGCATTGTTTCTCCTCCTGGTCTTGAATGGGAATCCTACAGTTCCCTATTTAATGCATTTATTTGTTTTAAAAACAGGCTGAAGATCTCTTGAGAAGGGAGAAGAACCTGGAGGAAGCTAAGAAGGTCGTGATCAAGAATGATCCAAGCCTTCCAGAACCGAAATGTGTGAGTAAGATCAGTGTGCTTGATGGTGACCCAAGCTGCAGCGCCCTGTCCGTGCCAGGGCTGAGGGAGTCTGTGCTGGAGGCTCTGGCAGCTGCTGGAGGCCACTGTTGTGTTACTGCCCATAAACACAGCTTTGGGTTCCAGTCACCTGTGTCCTCTGGTGTAGAGACTTTGGTCTCGCTCCGGCTGAAGCTTCTTAGTTTGTACATCAGACTCATGTGTTTGCCCACTGGTAGGAGCCGTGGTTCTGATTTAAGAAGCTGATCAGTTTTGCTTTGTTGGCTGATTGCAGTGCTGGCAGGGGGTGCTGTGCCAGGCGCTGGGGACCGCGGCTTTCCGTGGTGGTTCGTGCAGCCCTTGGTGCCTTGGCACAGCCCTTCGCTGCGTTGGCGGGTGAAACCTGTGCCCCTCTGCGGTGGGTTTGGGGAGACCCCTCTGTACAGAGCTTTCTCCATGCCTGTGCAGGTGGTTTTGGCTGGAGCCCTGTGCCGTTGTGGCTGCTCTGTGGGAAGGGGCAGCTGCTGGGCCCGGCCGTGCTGCAGTCCCGGCCTCCCCCGGCCGGTGCAGTGCCGCAGCCCCGAGCTGCCCGAGGCACAACCCCTTGGGAGGGTGCCCACTGGGCTGATTGTCCTGGCTGGAGCTGTGTCAGTGCCCCAGCTATGTGCACGGATGTACCTGTGTCAGGACCAGGTCCTCTGCTTCTTTTGCTGCTGAGTGAACTCATCCACTGAATGTCTTTAGAAAAGAATGCCAGAGAATGACTCTGAGGCAAGAAAGTGCTAGAAAATGTGTCCCAGGTGTTCTGGTGATTTGATGCCCCTTGGAATTCCAGCAGTACCCGGGTATTCTAGTCGCAAGCTGTGAGCTGTGACGTGTCCTTGCCTCTCCTTTCAGTCAAGTGCAAAGTGAGCTGCTTTGGAAGCTCTCACAGTCCTCACCTTCTGCCTGGCAGAGTGAGCCTGTGGCATAGAAGGGACTCACCTGCCCTGGGTAAAAGACTCTTCCCTTAGCAGGCAGCCCATGGTGTCATGGCTCTGCTCCTACCCAGGATGGAGTCGTGCTGTGGGGAGGAGCCATTTCGGGCGGGAGTTGTCACGTGCTTGCATTCAAAGCAGTGGTGTGGAAAACACCATCTAAGTGGTGAATCTTCTCTGACTGCTCCTGTTCCCTGCTTTGCAGGTAAAGATTGGTGCTCTGGAGCTTTACAGAGGCCAAAGAGTGAAGATTTTTGGCTGGATTCACAGATTACGCAGGCAAGGTAAACCACAAGCATTCAGAAGTTACTGAACCTCTGCAAAGATATGGAACAAACATTCAAAGGCCTTCAAAATGTGGATACTTAGAGTGGATCAGACAGCACCTGTTCTAAACCACCAGTTAGGTGTCCTCTTTGTTTTAGCACAGTGGTCACCACAGCACTGAAAATTGTGCATGGCGTGTGAGCACACAGACATTTCTCAGCTGAAATCTTGAGGGATTTTCAGTTTGGAGGCTAGCCCTGCAGAATTTCTTAAAGACTCCTTTTGAACTAATACTGCTAACTAGTGTCTGCTTGTAGTGAAATTGGCAAATTGGAGTTTTAGATAAAGTAGCACAGCTTTTTTGAGATCAGTGTAGTAAGTGCTGTTGCTCTCAGGAGTGTTGGTGTTCTGCTTGGGAAGGGGCTTCGGCCAGGGCGCAGCAGCGCGTGGCAGAGGCGGGTCTGCTGCAGGGCTTTGTTCACCTTGTCCCTGAAGGACTTGACAAAGTGCTCGTGGAGCTGGAATCATGAGTGGCTTCTAACAAATTACTTCTGTAGTTGTATGCCTTTGTGGCAGGGTGGGTGGGCAGGGTGCTGTCAGTCTGTGTCAGTGTGCCTGGGTCTGAGCTGCAGACAGAGCAGCGGTCCCTCGCTCGGGGCTGGAGGGAGGTCTGAGATCGGGGCATGATGCTGCAGTCCCCACCCTGCTGAGGCTGGAGCAGCCTTAGCTCCTGGTGTCTGCCGAACCTCATTTTAACTTGTTTTACAAAATACAGCTCTGTGAGAGACCTCTGTAACTGGACAAGTGCTTCTGTGCTCTCCTGGAGCATCTCTGGGGTTTAAAATGAAAGAATTTGGTTGCAATCCTTCTGTATCAATCTGCTCATCAGTGATCAACATGTCTCTGGCATGGGTGAATAAAGCTGAGCCTCTTGGGTTTTTTTCTTCTCTTTTTAACTAGGTAAAAATTTGATGTTCATTGTTCTGAGAGATGGCACAGGTTTTCTTCAGTGTGTCCTTTCAGATGAACTGGTAAGTTGTGACAATTTAATTCTGTTCTGCCATTAAATAGCTGAAGTGTTCATACCTCATCCTTTTTTCTTTAATACATACAATGGGAAGTTCTCCTAAACCTACTGATTGAGTTGTATTATTGTTCAATGGTATCTCCTACGACTAGAGTTTTTTTGTCAATATAAGAGCTATTTAGAAGTGACTATGAGTTAACCTTGTGTGTGACTCCAATAGAAGTTGTAGGAAAAGTAAACATTACCTTGACCACGCCTTGTGTGTTTCTCCCTGTAGTGCCAGTGTTACAACGGGCTGATCCTCTCCACAGAGAGCAGCGTCGTGGTGTATGGCACCCTCAGCCTCCTCCCTGAAGGCAAGCAGGTATAGCAGTGGCTGCGCTGGGGTCACCTCCTCTCCCACAGCTTGTCCTGTTCCTGGCAGAAGGAGAAGCAGAGGTGGAAGTTATGAGATTATTTTGGTGGGAATTTGGTTGTGAGGAAAGAGCAAACCTCCCAAAGCTGTTGCTGTCACCCATAGTTCAGTGTGTGACAGATGAACTATGTGACTGTTGGGATTTTGCCTGAAAAAATTTTCCACTGATGTTATGTCATGGAATGGTTTGGGTTGGAAGGGACCTTTAAATGTCGTCTAGTCCAACCCCTGCAGTGAGCAGGGACATCTGCAACTAGACCTACGTCCCATGGGTATTTCCTAAAATATAACTGGGAAATTGTGTTAAACAACTGACATAGCTTTATTTTCCCCAGCAAGTTTATTCAGTTTTTATTTTGTGAAGCTAAGAATTTGGGATTGGGTCTCTTCTTTTAGCATGATGGTTTGTCAGCTCTTCACCACATTGCATTTCTCCCCCAACACCTGGCCAGTGTGTGAACTGGGCAGTTTACTATAGCTGGTTGTGTAAGACTTTGTAATGGTGGTCTCAGATTAATGACCAGGCAGGGGTGGTTTTTGAGGTCTCAATCCAGTGCAGCTTGTGCCCTGTGCCTCTCATTCTGGTCCTGATCCACAGACTGCTCCTGTTGGGAAAATGGTTTGAGTCAGCATGGGCTACAGCTGTGTTGGGTTGAGCAGCTGTGCCTGAGGGATGGCCCATAGGGAGGGTTCAGGCTGAAGGCAGGAGAGAAGCTTTTGGGACCTGTTATCTGTGACTGCAGCTCAGTGTGCTCAGCAGGACATGCTGGCATCTGCTAGGATGTTCACTGAAAATCATTGTGAGACTTCTCTCCTGGTTATTGAGAGGTGACCAAAGGCTGAAGTTGTGTCTGTGTTACAGAAGAGCGACCAAGCTCAGACCATGCTTGTTCTGTTTTAAGTAGCCTCTTTTAAGAAACAAGCTCTTGATAGCTGCTTGTAGTAATGTCCTTTTTCTCTGAAGGAGAACATCAAGTAGTAATGTTGAGATTTAGAGGACAGGCATGTGTCTAATCTTCCTAGTCTGTGAGCTTACCCCTTCTTTTAGGTAGGTACACAAACTTGTCATCAGCTCTTTGGTGAGAGGTGCTTGTTTGTGTGGATTGGTGATCTGTATTCTCCTGTCTGGTCTCTTCAGTAGGTACTAACTCCAGTAAGATAACGGAGAAGAAACATGTTGGGGAGTGGGTGGAACACATTTTGGAATGTTATGTTGCATCAGTGTTCCCAAGATATATTAGACAGTAGTTGAGCAAAGTACTCCTTTGCTGTGGCTGCCTGTAGTACGTAAAACAAGGTCAAAGTGTTACACTTTTGAGGTCCTTTGTAGGTGGTTAAATTTTCTCATAAGCCATGTATTGTCAGCCACTACCAGCATGTATTTCAAATGAAATTTGGATTGGCTTAACTGCTGTAGTTGTCCCTGCCCCTTGGGTTCTATCCCCAGAGATAGAGCAAAGGTTAGAAAGCCAGGCTTGGTCAAATGTGTTTGCTGACCAGAAGTGAGCAAGGTTTCCTTTCCTTCCAGCTTATGCTGCTGGGGCTTCTAAAAATAAATGCAGTCAAATGGGTCACTTTTTTACACCTCTTCATGCAGGTTTGTGATAACTAACTCATGGTATGATACTGCTCGTAATGTCTTGGATGTTTAGAACACTTTGTGTTTTCATGTCTATTTGCAACAGTGCAGTGCTTTTAGTGACCAAGCCCACATAAAGATCTGTTGATTAGATCTTGAATATCTACATTCATACCCTGAAAATGCTGTGAACAACCCAGACGCCATTGCAGGGGACGGCAGCCTGCTGAGAACCAGGCGGGGGAGCTGGTGAGAGCAGCAGGGAAGGGCTCTGCTCGGCAGCAGCCCGGCTGAGCCCCGGCGGGGCGGCCACTGCTCACCCTGGGGCAGCCAGCAGGGCAGGGGAGATCAGCCAGCGTGGGGCTTGTGGCTGGCACAGGGCAGTGAGGTGCTGTCTGCTGCAGAAGGGGTGCTCAGGTGTCTGACAGACAAATCCAGCAGCACCCACAGTGAGCTGGTTCTTCCTCTGACGTGATCTCAGCAAGGGTTCTCAGTGTTTTTGAAGTTTCTACATCCAGTAGGAGAATATGGCTCAAATAGTACAAGGAATGAAATACTTTGAGCATTTTACTGCAGTCTTGGGTCTGCCTTTTCTCCTCCCAGATGGGAGGGCTATTCACTCTGTGTAGCACTCTTAAGGCTGATAGGAAGGTTCTTTGTGCCAGCGTGTCTTGTTGTAGCACTGTACAAACGACTATAAAGAAAATTAACTATCCCAGCCAAATCTAGTACCTAGCACAAGCCTCCACAGAGTGGTTTTGGTTGGGGGGAACCTCTGAAGGTCATCTGGTCCACCCTCTTCTTAAAGATGATCTAATATGGGGTCAGGATGCCAAGGGTCTTGGCCAGATGTGTTTCTGAGCACCTCCGAGGATGGAGACTGCGGTCTGGCTTTGTCTGTGCTTTTGCATTTCACCACCCTGCGAAGGCTTTATTTGTAGTCAGTTGAAATCTTGCCTGCAGCAACTTGAGGTATTTGTCCTTTTGCTGGACACATGCAAAGTGAGTCTGGCTCCATCTTCTCTATAAGCACCTGTTGAGTAGTTGAAGGTAGTAAGGAGTTTCCTCCTGCTTAGCTGCCAGTTCTTCCAGCTGAGGAGACTGTCTGCCTGTTACAAATTGCACTTGAGCTGCACGCGCCTGGAAGCGCCTCGTTCTGTGGCTGTAGTGCTCAGTCCCATTGGCCCGAGACTCCTGGTGGGTCACCGATGGCACTTCCAGCTGAGGTACATCCTAGTTACACAGCAGGCACTTTGAAAATGCTGGAATTAGGATCTTAGCCTCTTTGGTTTTAACTGGATTAACATCTGTGCCATGATTCCAGGTGGTGACACCCGAGGGGAAAAAAGTGGACTCCTGCAATGTTTGTTTCTCTTTAAATTGGCAGGCTCCAGGAGGCCACGAGCTGAACTGTGACTACTGGGAGCTTATTGGTCTGGCCCCAGCAGGAGGGGCTGACAATCTACTCAACGAGGATTCGGAGGTTGATGTGCAACTGAATAACAGGCATATGATGATTCGAGGCGAGAATATGTCCAAAATCTTCAAGGTGCGCTCGGTGGTAGTCCAGGCCTTCAGGGACCACTTCTTTGCCAACGGCTATTATGAGGTGAGTACATTTTCCCTTGTCAGCAAATGACTGCTTTAATGTCCTGACTTCAAGGCTGTCTTTTTTCCTGGAAAAATGGTGTAGACCTTCTAATTGACCTGAAAGGGGCAAAAGAAAAGCTGTTTCTTGGGAAGCTGTAGTTTGCTGGCTGTGACAGACACAGATCTCAAAGGGGTGTAGGTGCTCCTGGGGTGTGTGGGTGTTAGGCCTGGCTGACAGCCTGCATGGCTCTCGTTGCCCTGTCAAAGGGGCTGGGGCTGTGAGGAGCACTCGTGTGCGTGCCCTTGGAAGCCCTGGGGGTGTTGTGGAGGAGTGTGCCTCCTGCTCTCGGCTGTTACCGTCTTTGTCCTCAGTCATTCACTCGTGTAATGGGAGTCCTGTCCTTTAACAGGTCACACCACCGACTTTAGTCCAGACACAGGTGGAAGGAGGCTCAACTCTGTTCAAACTGGATTATTTTGGAGAAGAGGCATACTTGACACAGTCCTCCCAGCTCTACCTGGAGACCTGCATTCCAGCGCTGGGAGATGTCTTCTGCGTGGCTCAGTCGTACCGGGCTGAGCAGTCCAGGACCCGCAGGCACCTGGCAGAGTATGGAGCCACTAAACTGCTTTGCTCTGGGTGTCTAAGTGAGCTGACAGCGCAGGGCAGTGGCAGGCACCTGGATCCCATAGCACACAGTGAGCAGACAGCGTCGTGCTGCTGAGGAAGGACTGAGCAGAAGTGTATTTGGGGGTGGTATCTTCGTGTGGTGACTGTCCAGCTGGTCATAGTACATTGACATTTAGTGAAGGAAGATCTGGGTAAAAGAGTGCTCACAGATTTTTATGAAGCTTTGGCTTTTTAGAAAATACAGTTTATATTGTTCCTGTTTTTTTCTTTTATGATTTTATTTCCTTTACAGTGTAGAAGCGGGAGAAATTAAAAAGGGGACAAAAGTGTGTGCGTTTGGGTTGTGGTGGGTTTTTTTTTTGTGACAGTTTTTCATAGCTGAAGATTTGTTGCTTGTGTGTGGCTTTGTAATGGTGTGACTTTGTGTTCCAGATACACTCACATTGAAGCCGAATGTCCTTTCATAAGTTTTGAGGATTTATTGGACCGTCTGGAGAACTTGGTTTGTGATGTAGTAGACAGAGTCTTGAAGTCACCTGCATCGAGCTTACTGTATGACCTAAACCCGGTAGGTAGCAACAGGCAACAGTCACAAACAGCTCAGGAAGTGTCATCTTTAGCTCTTCCTCATCAGCATGCTCGTTTGGGGAAGGCAGGGCATGGCAGTGAGCTCTCCTAGCTTACTGTTACCAATAATAGGAAGATTAAATAACATCAAAATAATGAAAATGCTGCAGAGCTGGTGATGACTATTCCAGAAGCAGGGGGCTGTGGGGGGAAGAAGTTCCCTGCTAGCAAGTTCCAGGAGCTGGCAGCATGCTGGGATTTATTGCAGCATCCACAGGACCAGTGGAATAAAAACCTCTGCCTTAGAGCTCGTAATATTGATCGGCTGGTGCTTGCAGATGGAGCACAAGGGAGCAATGAAGCAACTGGTCTTTTACTTTCCACCATGGAATGTGGAGTGGTTTTCATTTGAGAGACCCTTTGTCTTCAGCTGCCTTTGCAAAGAAGATGGCTCGAAGGGGCTGCTGACTGTATGTCCACCGCTTGCTTTTCTCTCGGAGCATCCAAGCTTGGTGTTCTTGGTTATTTTGACTTGTTTGCCTGGTAGATGCTGGGAGGCTCAGTGTTAAATTTAGGCTGGGACAGGAGGCAGGAAATAGCAGAATCACAGCCCACTTCACAAGACATGTTCTGAGGCCATTCTGTGCACAAGGGAGGAAAAATGTCCTTTTGTGGCCTGGCCCATGCAGCCTCTGCTGACAGCTTGGTTTGAAACATCTTCGTGTGTGGTGAGCTCGTACAAAAAAGGAAACCACTGTGAAAACACTTCTCTGCTCCCTCCTGCCAGCTTCCAGCGCTGGTTCTGTGAGCCTTACTGGGCTTGCAGGATGGTTGGGTTTGGTTCTAGCTTTTCAGTACTGAGCCTGATCTGTTTATTTGGTGACCTGGCAGTGCTGGGTTAATGGTTGGACTTGATCTTAAAAGATCTCTTCAAACCAGAATGATTCTATGATTTATTAACTAATCATTTGTTGGTGTATGAACTAGAAAGAGTAGTTTGTGAACTTCAAGTCTGGAAGTGGACTTGCCAATCAACTACAAAAGTACTCTTCTTTAAAAGTGGTACTCTTCCAACTGTCTTTGTGTTGCATTTGCAGGGCTTCAAGCCCCCAAAACGTCCTTTCCGGCGAATGAACTACACTGAGGCTATCGAGTGGTTGAAGGAACATGATGTGAAGAAGGAAGATGGCACTTACTATGAGTTTGGGGAAGTAAGTCTTTCTGAGGCTCTTTAGGACTTAAACCCAAGCAAACGCCTCCCGCTCTGCACGCGGGGCGTGTAAGTCCCCTGGAAAACAGGAGCAGTGTGTGTGGATCACAGCGTTGTTGTGCTGACTGTTGCTGTGTGAATCGGTTGTTTTGTTTGGAATGATGCCGGTAAGGAATGAAATTCTAGTCCAGTGTAAGTCAGAGGGAGTTTTGTGATAGGCTTCAGTGAGGCCTGGGTGTTTGTCTGGGCCGTGCTGGCAGGTGTAGTGAGGTACTGGGGAATGCAAGTGTGGGCTGGGTTCTCACAACATCTAAATCAGACTTCAGAACAGATGGAATCCAAGTCTGTGTGGTCATCTCTCAGATGCTGGGCAAGAGTGAGACAGGGAACATGTAAGACAAAACTATTTGACAGAGCTCAAGAAGACTGATGGTGTAGCCATAGACATCAAAAGATTTAAAAGAAATTAGATTTTAGGAGGAGATCATATAATAGTTTAACTTCAGTGTATTCTTGAGGGAACCTTGGCAGCTCAAACTGCAGTGTGCAGTTGGGTTAGAACAAGGAACAGCTGTGGCTGGGTTTTCCTATAAAAAAAAAAAAAAAAGAAATCCAATATTCTGACTTTAAGTCATAATCTGAGAAGCGTGATAACCTTGGCTGGATAAAAGTTCAGATTAAACCTTTTATGAGTAGATGGAGTTTTTTGACTAAAAGTGTGTTCATTTAAGAAGACATGATCGCATGTTGTCTCCACCAGTGTTCCCTGTCTGTCAGCTAAAGTGGTGTCATCCATCACTTCCCCCCAGGTTTTTCAACAGTAAACTGCTGAATTGATCACAGTGAAACTCCTGTGAAGTGTTTCATGGTCTGTCGAATTTCAGTCAGACAACTTAGATGAGGTTATTGGGATTTTATTGAAGTAACTGATCAGTTTGTGTTTTTAAAAAATAGCCCATGTACATAGCATAGAAGCACTTCAACTTCTTAGTCTTAAGGTTTGTGGAAAACAGTATTGGGGAGGAAGGAGATTGGGCTCTTAAGTGTTTGCTGGTTGGCTGGAAAATCTACATTTCAGGTTTGTTTTTCCTCAGTTTTCTGCCTGAAATACTGGAAAGACTTGGATCATAATTGGATAGATGTTTTTTTTTTTTTCCCCCCTGACATACATGTTTTTATAGAGAGATTCATAGAATGGCTTGGAAGGGACTTCTAAAGGTCATCTAGTCCAACCCCCAGCTAACTATACACATACAGTTTCTTCTAAGGTAAGTTTGTGTGAAAGCTTTAGCTACGTTAGGGTGAATGTGTGGATATGAGTGGTATGAAGCTGTCTGTTTCATGCCTGGTACATGTTGGACTGGAGGTGTTGGAGTGGTTTGGGGTTTGGGTATTCATGAAGCCTTCTTTACCCATAGGACATTCCTGAAGCTCCCGAGAGGCTGATGACAGACACCATAAACGAGCCCATCTTGTTGTGCCGATTTCCTGCAGAGATCAAGTCCTTCTACATGCAGCGCTGCCGTGAGGACCCCCGGCTCACCGAGTCGGTGCGTGGGCGCCGCGGGGAGCCCTCAGCGGGGCTCCTCTGGGGCTGCTGCCCTGGCCTCTCGACACACTCGGGGTCGCCGACAAAATGTCGGCAGGTCACGGGGAGCTGCCCTCACTGACCCCTGGGAGTGCCGCTCTAGTAACAACACTCGTGTCTCTTCTGAGAGACTGGCTTTTTCCCACACCAGCTGTCTGGCAGCTGGGCCTGGTGGTGGGTAGGAACGCAGCCACACTTGTGGGCTGGGCTCTGGGGCTGGTTGGTTGGTTGGCTTTTTTTTTCTTTTTAAAGTTTGGTGTGGCCAAGAATATTAGAGATTAAGTTAGATAACCTAGTCAGTTAGTTTATTCCATCTATAAATTGGATGCCTTCCTGTCACAGCAAATTATAATTCCATGGTGAAATGTGTTAAGAGAATACATTTTTAAGTTTGGGGCATTTCTCCTCCCCCTCCCACAGGCAGCTTAACCGTACTGGTGTGATGTCTTGTTGTGTGTCGCAGGTTGATGTGCTGATGCCCAACGTTGGGGAAATTGTTGGTGGCTCTATGCGTATTTGGGACAGCGAGGAGCTCCTTGAGGGCTACAAAAGAGAAGGCATCGATCCCACGCCGTACTACTGGTACACTGACCAGGTCTGTAAAACAGTTGCACTGCTTGTCAGATGCAATACCTGTTGGGTTTTTTTACTGCCCTTAAGATGAGGCAGTCTAAATTGGAAGCGTATTTTTGGTGGCCCAGAGCAGAAAATGGTTTAACTGCTAGCAAGAGGTACCGGGTGATGATTCCCATTCTGTTAGAGCTGCTGTTGTTTGCAGTTCCATGCTGCCCATCCCAGGTCACTGTCACTGGACTGGTCTGGGCAGCTGTATTCCTCTTGAGGTGTCTTCTGCAGTGGTTGTTAGGTAGAGAGAGGCTGGTCCTCACAGAGCTGAATAGGCAAGCTGTGGCTAGTGTAAGGGGAGGAGAACAGGAGGCAGCTGAAAATGAATCCTTCAGATTTTCTTTTTCACCTTGCTTTTACCTGTTCTGGTAAACCAGAACAGCTGCTCCAGGAAACTCAGGACAACTGAGCACAAGTACCGTGCCTGGAAAGAGTATAGTCCATTTCTCATTCTTTCAGAAAATAATCTTGAAAGGATTTGGGTTGTGTTTTTTTTTTTTCCCTAGTGATATTACTGTGATTATAGTATAAATAACAAGAAAATGTTCAGTATCCACTCTCTGATTTTAATTTCACAGAGAAAATACGGTACGTGCCCTCACGGCGGGTACGGTTTGGGATTGGAGCGGTTCCTCACCTGGATTCTGAACAGACACCACATCCGGGATGTCTGCCTGTACCCACGCTTCGTCCAGCGCTGCAAGCCGTAGCTGTGCCGGGACAGCCGAGCAGCTGCTGCCTGGAGGGGAACCTGACACTGCTCTACTGCAGTCAGCCTGAGAACAGGACTTACTGCTACCTGTTACAAACACTTACTGCAACAAATACTAAATTAGGGCATGAAAATGGAAAGAAACCCTTTTTTAAAAGAAAATGCTACGAATTAACTGGAAGAAGCCTTAGAAAAAAAAAATTGTTAGGTGCATTTATGTTCCCAAATAAATATAAAAGAAAGGTCCTGATAAGCTGTCATTTGAAAACCAAGATGCTCTTCTGCTTTTAATTTCCATGACTTAAAAGGAAATATGCTGGGCATTTGATTTTTGTTTTTTAAATTTGCTTTAATTTTAATCTCTTTTATTCTGTAGTTTCATGTTGGAGAAATCGGGCGTTTAAATTCCCAAATACCGACCTCTGAGAATAGTGTGAAGAGGCATCATCTAAAGAGCTCAACAAAGTGTAAAAATGGGAATAATTAAGTGGTGCACTTTTTTAGCTCCTGCTGTTTTAAATGGAGGTTCTGTTTGAGTTTATTCAGTTGCAGGGTATGTAGTATTGTACACAAAATTCCACTGCAAGAGACGTGGGGCGGGGGGGATGTGTTTCCAGATTATTTATTGGTTAGCAGTGTTGAGGGTGATGGTGAGGGAGCTTTTGCTTTTCCCAGTAGCTGTGGATGGATGAGCACTGCAGTGGGTCCATGCACACCCAGGCTGGGCCAGCTCGCAGCAGGAGGGGACGTGGTGTCAGAGCACTGAGCTCTGGCTCACACGCCGGGCGTTCGGCGCCTCCGCGTCCCGGTCCTGCCGCCCGCTGGCGAGCAGACAGGACTGACTGGGGGGGCCCAGAGATGCTGCTGGCTCTGGGACTCAGCCGGGCTTTGGCATTGTGTGCCCAGCTGCTGTCCTCCCTAGATGAACTGTGGTTCACCCAGTGCTCTTCCACGTTGTGCTGAAGGGTGTTTTCATACCTGAGCAGTTCCATGCTTCCCGGCTGGCTCCGTGTTCTCTTGTGCTGCTGCATCTGAGCAGATTCTCTGGCTGTGATCAACTTATTGAATAGGATTAATTAAATATTTAATGTGTTGAGCCATCTGTATGCTTCTTAGTCATCAGTAAAGCAATTCCTTTTATTAGAGAAAAATTGGTAGGAGCATCATTTGCTCTCTGCACCAAGCCAGGTCTGGATTTGCCCTTCATCAGATTGTTGAGCTGTGTGATGTCCATATTTTTGTAGTAAATTAATGGTTTCCTTCATCTTGCATGTTATATACAGAAACTGGCCTAAATCGGCAACCAATAAATTATGGCAAGCTCAGTTGGTGTGTGCCAGTAGTTCTTGACCTGCAGCGCCTGTTCCTTTCCTTTTGCTTCACCTGCCTGGCTTCTACTTGCTTACCTAGCCTATTTGGGCAGGGGAGGAGGGGGTTTTCAACTGCAGTAAACATGTATTCAGAAAAATGGAACTAGCTTTTCCTTTTTTATACTAAATTCCATCAATGAACTTAATTGCATCAGTTTTTATAATTTGGACAGGCTCACTCAGTGACCTAGCTGAAACATCCCAGAGAATAAATGACAATAAATAAGTTGCATGAGGATGAACAGAAGATGCTCTAAGAAATGAGCAGTGCTAGAATAGCTTTCTTTTTTACCTACCTCTTTGAATTCAACCTTTTCACCTATTTTTCCAGTTCTTTTGTGGCTGCAATAGAAGAAAATCTTGTCCAGTAACATGCCTCAGCTCTCTCATTCTTTACTCCATTTTTGCTGGGTTGTTCCTCCAATGTAGGACTTTAGACTCTTAAATGCCTGCAATAATAAAGTCAACAGTAAATTGCCTGTGATTTAGGGGATTGTTACATGCCTGTGATGTACATAAACTAGAGGAAGCAGAGAAACTAACAAGTTTTGCTGCAACAAAATACTACTGATTTCTTACCTGTAAACATCCGTACCTGGAAATGTACTGGGCTACAGAAGAAGTCACCCCAGAGCAGAAGTTGAACCGTACTGGGCTACAGAAGTCACCCCAGAGCAGAAGTTGAACATGCTAACACATGTAATCACACCCCTTAGGGTTTTGGTTTTGTGTTTTTTTTTTGTTTGTTAGGGTTTGGAGAGAGGGGGTTTTTAGGAGGAATGATGCTCAACAGGCTTCTGTAGTTCAGATTATTTAGGGATTAATGAACATATAAAGACTTCATGTTAAAAAAGTTTCTTCACATGCCTGAAGTGGTGGGAAAGAGGAGAAGGGTTAGAAAATGATACTACTAGAAAAACCTTATTTGTTGCCAATCAGTTTTCTGCCCTTAAAACTGTCAGGGCTGAACTGCTTTATAAAGGTTAAAAGCCTCCTATCAGGGGAACTCCTAGAGGAAGGTCTGAGGATTTAAGCGATGCTTGTGGAAGAGGCAGATCAGATAAGAAGCTTAAAAGGTGGCTGGGATGAGAGTCTCTCTTTGAGATGATTTCAGCCTGCAGAGCAAAAACATGCCCACTGCAGGAAATAACTCTTCAGGTGGGGTTTTCTCGTGGTGCACTTGGCTGAGATCAGGACCCGCATTTTACGTGGGAGCGTGGTCCCTATGCTGGGGAATCCACCACTTCCCTGGGGAGATTATTCCAACAGCTGGTGGTTGTCATTGTGAAAATTTTTGCTCTTATATTTAATTGGAATCACTTAGGGAGTAATTTGTACACATTACCCCTTGGCTTTTCCATGTGGCTCCTTGTAAAAAGGGGCGTCTCCATCTTCTTGGTAGCCACCCGCTAAATACTGGAATGTAATGATGGACCAGACTCCTGAGAGAGGTTCTGGAATCTCCTCCAGAGAGATTCCAAGCCTGCCTGGACACGATCCTGGGCAACCTGCTCTAAGTGAACCTGTTTCAGCAGAGGGGTTAGATGAGATGATCTCCAGAGGTTGCTTCCAACCCCCTCTATGCTGGAATTCTGTGATTTTGTGATTGCTGTGCTCAAATTGTATGTCTGTGTCCTGCACTACTGAGAAAGGGTCACATCAATTCCTTTCCAGATGGTGTAAACTCTGGCCCTAAAGCTTCAGGACTGTCCACAGAGAGGGGACTAACCCAAGTGACAGGCCAGGTCTTGGAGGAATAGAGGCAAAATAAAGGGTCAGATGGTGAAAGGGGCCATAGCTGATGTCTCCTGGAAAAGGCAGGCTGGGATTGCACCATGCTCTTTATGAAGAGGAGGAGGACATTGGGAAAAATGTTTTCCCTGAAAGGCCTGTCAATGGCAAGGCCGCTCCCAGGCTGCCCAGGGCAGGGGTGGAGTCCCCATCCCTGGAGGGGTTTCCAAGCCGTGGAGATGTGGTGTGAGGGACACGGGGCAGTGGGGACCTGGCAGTGCTGGGGTAGCAGTTTGGCTCAATGATCTTAAAGGTCTTTTAATCTAAAATCATTCTGTGATTCTAAGAGGGACAAGGATGACTGTAGGCCAGGATCCAGGTTTTAACAGTAAAGGCTGACCACGACCTGAGGTGGTGGATGAGCTCCTCTGTTCGTAGAGCCCTCAAGACTTAAAAATAGATTTTTTTTTTTAAAGGATCTGCAGGTTCTTTCATAGAATTCTAAAATCATAAAATGGTTTGTGTTGGAAGGGACCTCTTCAAAGCCTAGCTCTGCAAACCTAAGAGATGCTCAAGTATCTACTCTAGCCTGCCTGTTTGGCAGGAAAACCTTCAAAACATAACCCCAGCATAACACAAGGGATACCATTATTAGTTTAGCTTCCAAAAAAAGATTCCATATTGGGGTCTCTTATTCGCTTGGAGCTTGATGTCTCACCTCTGAGTCCTGTGGAGTCTCTCAGTAACGGTCCTACCGGGACTGTGGAGGACAGCCTTGGAGAGCAGCCTCGGCGACTCCAGCACCGGCCCCG